CCTGCGGTATCTTGGTCCACAGACATCAGCACAGATCCCAGCTGTAACGGGACCAAAGACCCAGACATGGCCCTTGGCAGCAGCCGGGGGCCCAGATGTCACCATAGCTGTGACACCCAGATCAATATGTTCCCTGTGGAAGCATGGCCCTAGGACACCGATATGGTCTCAGGTGGCTGACCAAACCCCAGGCATCTGCACGGACCTTGGAGATAACAAGAACCGCGAACATCAAATCAGACCCTAGCTACTGTTGGACCAAGGACCCAGGACATGGCCCCTTGCAGCAACCTGAGTGGATGACACCACGACCCGTGCTGGCAGCTCAGGTTTCTCAGGTCGGCATGGCCCTCAGTTACCAACATGGCCTCAGGTGGCAGTCCAGACCCTGAGCATCTGCTTGGTCTTCGGTGGTAACTGAAGTCCAGACCCAGACCTCAGTCTTTTGGATACCAGCACGGCCACATGTGGTGGCCCAGACCTCAGGACTTCCGTGTGGCCTTTAGTGGGAACACTGGCCACTGGGGTCAATGAAGATCATTCCTGGAGTTGGACCACAGCAGCAGTCCAGGCCCAGATGTCACCCTGGCCCTGGCGGGCAAGCAGACCACCCACATTAGCCTGTTCCTCACCACCTTAGTTTCTTCAGCTCTGCCTCTTTCCACAGCACATAAACCAGCCTCCTTCTTCTTTTCTGTTTCTCCACCAAATATTTGCTCATCATAATGGTGTTTGCCTTGCAGCACTGGGTAGGCCCGTGGCTGTGTTTCACCCACCTGGGCCATGAGGACCTGAATGAATATACTTTTTTTTTTTTAAAAAAAAGATTTATTTCTTTATTTATTATGTATACAACATTCCTTCCATGTGTGTCTGTAGACCAGAAGAGGGCACCAGATCTCATACAGATGGTTGTGACCCACCATGTGGTTGCTGGGAATTGAACTCAGGACCTCTGGAAGAGCAGCCAGTGCTCTTAACCTCTGAGCCATCTCTCCAGCCCCTGAATGAATGTTCTTAATGGAACATATTCTAATGGAAATGGGGCTGCAAAGAAACCTTCGTAGATTGTATTCATTAATACTAATTGCTAATTGTAATGTCATTGTACTAAAACCATTATATGAATTTAGTTAGAGCAAAGTTATGTTAATGTTACTAACGAACAAAATTTCCAGTGTTTGAATGCAAATATTAAAGAGGTTAAGTAAAAATATTTTAGTCTTACATTCAAATAGGTGATATTCTAAATTCATGATAACTTTCTCTTACCAATACTTATTTCTTAGCTTGGTCAATTGAATGGCTGAAAGCAAAGTCAACCCAGTGCTATGAACATCCCTAAGGCCAATTTTGTAACTCCTAAAAACTGTTTCTACCTAATGCCTCTTCTTGGAGGAGAGGCTGACTCTGTATCTGGACTAGAAAGAGAACATATAGCTATAGTAAAAAAGCAAACATGAACGCCATTATGTCAAAATTTGAAGATCTTAGTTGGAGGGGATTTAAATAACCAAAGAGAAATCTGAGTATCAAGTGATAATATTGAGTGGACAGACAGAAGGACCAAGGGAACCGAATAGAAGACCCAGATATTAATCCACACACTTTCGAACACCTGATTTTTGACAAAGAAGCAAAAAAATACCAACTGGAAAAAAGAAAGCTCATTTAACAAATGGTGCTGGCATAACTGGATATCAACATGTAGAAGAATGAAAATAGACCCATATCTATCACCATGCACAGAACTCAAGTTCAGATGGATCAAAGACCTCATCATAAAGCCAGCCACACTGAACCTCATAGAAGAGAAAGTGGCAAGTACACTTGAACACACTGGCACAGGGAACCACTTCCTAAATATGACCCCAGCAGCACAGACACTGAGAGAAACAATAAACCTCCTGAAACTGAGAAGCTTCTGTAAAGCAAAGGACATGGTCAACCAGACAAAATGACAGCCTACAGAATGGGAAAAGATCTTCACCAACCCCACATCAGACAGAGGACTGATCTCCAAAATATACAAAGAATTCAAGAAATTGGTCATCAAAGGGGGTGAAATGACGGGATGCCTATGCTTTATTCATACATATCTCAACAAAATAAGAGAGGAGGTGAAGCAAGTGAAGCAATAGATTGTTAAATATGGAGGAACGAGGGGTCCAGAGGGAGCTACACATTATCCTATTCACCCTGTGCCTAGCTTACACTTTTCAGCATATAAAAAATTGTAAAGTCCTGAAGTTTTTCTTCTTTCTTTTTTCTATTTTCTTTCTTGTTTGTTTTTTTGAGAGAGGGTCTCACTACGTAGCTTGCCTGTCTTAGAACTTACTATGTAGAGCATGCTGGCTGTGAACTCAGATCTGTCTGCCTGTGTCTCCCAAATTTGCAAGGCAGGAGACTTCCTTTGTCTTTTTCAGGTCAGATTCAAACCAGTCCTTCGGTATTGTTTATCACTAATGTCTCTTTTTTCTCAGGGCATACTTGAGGTCCTCTATTGGTATGTAAGTTAAGCTTGGATATGGATTTATTCTAGTCATCATGTGCATTATGAACTGAGTTTTCCAGAAAGAAAAAACACATCTCTATATTAAAGATTTCACATTTGAAATACTGATCACAACTTGATTGTGCAGTGTTGTGGTGTTGAAACTCCAGAACGAAATTATCTTGGGCTAATTTGACTAGGCTTACCATTCATTGACCACCTCTATGCCTGGCCTTATATCCTTTCAAGTATCATGTAAAAGTGTTTGGAAAGTATTGATTTAATAGACCAGTAGCTTCCCTCCCCCCACTCCAAAGCTAGGAATTTTATCAAATATCTCTGAGAACAGTAACAGAGATTTCCTCACTTTGCTGTAATCTGCCTACCTGAAATTTCCACCAACATATTTGAAAAATGTCTTGCTTTGTGTCTTTCTGTTTGTCTGGAACTATTTCCAAATTGAAATATGTCATTCAGGCCATCCCGAATCTCATGTTCCTGGACCAAAGTCTATTCAGCACAACAATAAACTGTCTCTTCCTACTCCCTTTGAGTGGCAGGTAGTTTGCCTTGACATGTTCACACGTTGCAAGTGAACAAGTGGAGTGTGTTTAAAGGAGCCAAGAGGCAGAACCGACCTGACAGATGGACAGACAGGAAAAGGAACGGCACATGATGATAAAGATGGCCAACTTTGGGCTTCTTCCTCACCGCTCTTGCCTGTTACAAAGGCCTGGCATGCTTTTTCTCAGGCCAGCAGCTTGCCCTTCCAAGCTTTCCAGCTGACTGGTCAAAGCTGGTCTGCAACATGTTTGCCTGAAGCTGTAGGCCTGTCAGCTCCTCTTTCTTTCCATAAATTGACCAATCCAAAATGGGAGGATTGGGGACAGATCCTAGGCCACGAAGAATACCTAGGCCACGAAGAATACCTGTGTGTGTGCTTCTTTGTTTGTAATAAAATTTACCCGCTGCTGCCTGCTATGTTTCCGTTTTTCCCGCTTTTAATTCTTTAATTAGCAGAGTCAAGCCTGACCGAGACACCCCTACAACGTACCCCCCCCCCCCCCCCCCGGGTGTGTGTCGTCTTCTTGAATACAAACTTCTCTTTGGCAAACATGAGCTATGAGCTATGGTATGGTGTTTCATTATACTGTAGGACATTTGTAAACACTTCCAAGTCCCACATCCCTTAGGAAACTAGAGAAATAGCACAGACAAGTCAGAACCACAGATTGGGAATGTGGTGTTTTTTTTTCAAGACAGCTGACTTTGTCTTCTCAAAAAGCCAGTAGTTTAAAAAGCAGAAGAAATTGCTAGTTTGGCAAATACAAAAGAAAACAAAACCAAAAAACATGGACGAAACAAATAGCAAAACAACAGACCAATAAACAAACAAGCCACCCAATCTTAGCAAACCAGCTAACGCTGTAAGTGGCAAAAAACAAATAATGTTGATAAAGATGATAACAATAATAATAATAGCTTTGGTTGTAGTATGAAAGATTATCTGACACTAAGGACTTCTGAATGTCGCCCAGAGAGCTATACGTGAGTACATGAGTAAATTATTCTGAGGTTGGTAACACTATTTAGGAAGGATAGTCTTTTGTTTCAGTCGTGGCTATTTCCTTACGTGTTGTTTTGCTTGCAATTTTGGGAGAAACAGCAAAAATAAAGTGTTCTCAAATCGATATTTTTTATATAGGTATGTCAAATATGTCTAGAGGTCAAGTGTTGGGTTGTGGAGTTTGGTACTGGGTAGTACTGATGGATTAGGGAGTGTGTGTAAATGCGGACCCCATTGTTTTTGCCTCTGTTACTATGACATCACCGCGGAGCTCGAAATCCCGCCCCTCGAAAGCACTCTCATTCTCGCGAGACCACGGCTGGCGGCGCGCGCTGCGATGGGCGGGGCAGGGAGCGAGGGTAACTTCCGGCCAGGCCGCTGTCTGGGTGGCGCGGCCGGGTCCCCTCGGGTGTCGCCACTCTTCGCTTCCACGGCCGTCCCCCCGCCCTGCGCGGGGGGTTGGGCGGCCGCGGGAAGCGAAGCGGACCTTCCTAAAAAAAAAAAAAAAAAAAAAAAAAAAAAAAAAAAAAAAA